CTAAGCTATCTCATAGGACTACTTTTTTTTTTCGTCCAATCGAAGATTCAAATACACCCTACGCATATGTTAGTACTAATTAAGAAAGAGGAAAAAAAAAACTTTAACTCATAATTGAAGTTAAATTAAGGATGACAATCAAACAAAATGAGATGAATGGAGGATTCAAGAAAAATAAAGGAAAAATTAATAGGTTGTAAATCGCATTGCCATATTTACAAATATAAATAGGATTATGATTTTGTAAATATAACAATCTTTTTAATTTTTGTATTTAGACATTTTTATACCATTCTCTTTTTATCCTTATATATCCCTCATTCACATCAATCTCTTAATGATAGGGCTATATCACTGATAGATAGCTGCGACTGATATGGTCTATCAGAGATAGATATCTTTGCTCATATACGTCCTATCATCGACAGACTAATAGAAATTTTAAGATTATTTTATTCTTTTTATGAGAGAGTTTGATCTAATTTTTTTTTTCGTTTTTATTGTTATATTTGCAAATCTATAATATTATAACTGTATTTTCAATTAACAAGAATTATTTTTATTGCAACATAAATTGTATAATTATTTTTATTTAAATCACTTTCTATTATGAATATTATCCAAAATTAGATGTCCAACCTTAGGCGTCGAAATATGGGATGCCTAAATAACCCTAACCCATGTGTCAATTTCTTTCATTTGCTTAGTGTGTCTAAGTTTCAAGTAGACTCTTATCCATGTGTTTAATTCTCAATATCATGTGTCTTTTTTCTACCTATTATTAGTATTTATATGTAACATCTCATGGTTGTACAAATTGCCGATAATGGCAATTCATGGATAAATTGGAAATGAAAAATTTAGTGGATTTCGGTGGAAATTTAGGTTGAAAATTGTGTTTTTAATTCTCAAATTCCAAATTTAGATTTTAATTTTATACTTTGTTTAAATCTCGTATTTCCTCGTTGTTCGTGACTCGTGGTGCCTCATTTTGCTCTATAATTTTATAAGACGTTATCAGCATGACTCTCTGCCATTTTTCCCTCTAAAGTAGGTCCTAAAGGTAGGTTATTTGATTTTCCTTTTATTTTCATGTTTAGTATATATCAAATTTCTAATATATAGATTTTTTTTTGTGATAGTGTTACCATGACAAATCTCACCAAATTAGACTTTACTGCCCTTGACATCAATGACAATAATTATTTGTCATGGGTACTGGATGGTGAAATTCATTTCGATGCTATGAATCTGGGAGAAACCATTAAAGAAGAAAATACAACGACGAGTCAAGATAAGGTCACGAGGGATTGAGGATGGAATATCTGACACTAAAAGATCTTCGTGTATTATGACAAAATTTAAAAGAGAGATATGATCATCAGAAAACAATTATTCTTCCTCAAGCTCGATATGAATGGATGCACTTGAGGCTCCAGGATTTTAAATCAGTAAGTCATTATAATTCTGCATTATTTTAAATCAGTTCGAAATTGAAGTTATGCGGAGAAAAAATTACTAATGGAGATATGCTCGAGAAGACATTCTCTACCTTTCATGTCTCGAATATGCTCTTGCAACAACAATATCGAAAGAAAGGTTTTAAGAAATATTCTGAGCTTATATCATATCTTCTTGTTGCTGAGCAAAATAATGAGTTGTTGATGAAAAACATGAATCTTGACCAACGGGAGCAACACCGTTCCCTGAAACAAATGTTGTGAATTTTAATAATCGTGGTCGAGGTCGAGGCTATGGTCAAGGGCGTTACTGCGGTAGAGGAAGAAATAATCATTCTTTTCGTGGTGGTCATTATAATCATCCAAATTTCAAAAGAACCACACAAAGTAATGATCATAAAGGAAAAGCTCCACTGGATCAGAATACTAAAAATGTTGAACACAAATGTTTTCGATGCGAAATGACTGGTCATTGGGCATGTATTTGTCATACGTCGAAACACTTGGTGGATTTCTATCAGGCTTCCTTAAAAGAAAAGGGAAAAAATGTGGAGGCAAATCTTGCATGGTGATATATTTGATCCTGTCAACATAACAAATTTGAATGTAACAGATTTTCTTGAAACTCCTGGAGAACAAATTGGCACAATGGATGGATAGCAAGTGTTTCCTTTGATTTTGAAAACATCCCAAATTAATGTTTTTTAACCTAAGGTTGTCTTTTTGTATTTCAAGTTTTTTTTCTTCTCTTCTTATTATAATTATTTTGTTTAATGATGAAGCATGAACAATTTTCATATATTGGATGACTTGAAAATGAGTAATGAAGATTTATGTTTGGCAGATAGTGCAACTACGCAACAATACTAAAAAGTAAAAAATATTTATCAGGTTCTGCAAACTTGATTGAAGGTTTTGGAAAAGCATATATTATTTTGCCTAGAGGAACAAAGTTTACAATTGGCAATGCATTATTCTCTAGTCAATCAAAAAAAAATCTATTGAGTTTTAAAGATATACGTTGCAATGGTTATCCTATTGAAACTGATTAATTAGAATAATATAGAATATCTCTATATTATATCTATTGTCTCACATGGCAAACATATACTGGAAAAGCTACCTGCTTATCTTTTGGATTATATTATACTCATATACGAGTAATTGAAACATATGCAATAATGAACTTGAAGTTTATGAATCCAAATATATTTACTATTTGGCATGACCGATTGGGTCATCCATAGTCCATAATGATGAGAAGAATTATTGAGAATTCACATGTACATCCATTGAAAAACCAGAAAATTTTTCAATCTAATGAATTATCATGTGATGATTGCTCTCATGGTAAATTAATCATTAAACCATCACCAACTAAAGTGGGAACATAATCACCTACATTTTTAGAATGAATTCATGGTGATATATGTGGACCTATTCATCCATCAAGTGGACCTTTTAGATATTTTATGGTGTTAATAGATGCATCGAGTAGAAGGTCACATGTATGTTTATTATCAAGTCGAAATCTTATATTTGCAAGATTACTTGCTCAGATAATTAAGTTACGAACACAATTTTCTGATTATACAATTAAGAACATTCGTCTTGATAATGCTAGTGAATTTACATCTCAATCATTTAACAATTATTGTATGGCAATTGGGATAAGGTTGAACATCTTGTACCTCATGTTCATACACAAAATGGTTTAGCTGAATCATTTATAAAATGACTGCAGTTAATTGCTTGACCAATGCTTATGAGAGTTAAGCTTCCTACATCTGTATGGGGATATGTTATTTTACATGCAACATCACTTGCACGTATTAGGCCAACAGTCTATCATAAATATTCTCCATTACAATTAGCTTATGGTCAAGAGCCGAATATTTCCCAAGAATTTTCGGATGTGCAGTATACGTTTCCATTGCTCCACCACAACGTACTAAGATGGGACCTCAAAGGCGATTAGGAACATATGTTGGTTTTGATTTTCCATCAATCATTAAACATCCTGAGCCCGTGATATATTTACTRCTCGATTTGTGTGTTTCAGGGCAAATAAATATGACTGTTTATATAATTTTAAAATACAGTAACCAAACAAGTTGCTAATCATATACGTTAAAATAATCTAAAAAAGCCATAGACATTAAAATATGACTACTGACTTCTAGGATCTTCTTGCGTATGTCATTATCTATAAAGTAAACTCATATCGAGGGGATCGAACTCACAACGTCTTGGTTGGAGAATATGTCAATTACCGTTGAACTATACTCGTTCTGACAATTTTCGTGACAACTTGATTACAACTCAAGTGGTTAAGATATTTAATCTCGACTAAAGATTGTTCATCCTCTATTGTTGTACTAAGAAAAAGTCAACATGCCAACATCATTTTATATATATGTGTATAAATATATAATATATAAGCCTTTTTTTTAGTGCAACAAATATGTGGATAGTGGATTGAATCTCCGATGAACAAGATGACTTAATCACCGAGTTAAGCTTATGTTTGGGTTTTATTTATTGTCATATAAATAGAAAATATATCATATATATCATGTATTCAATATATAGTAACTTAGAATAATGAAAATTTACGTGTTTTAACCAAATAATAAGAATCAAATTAAAAACTTTAAACATTAAATTTTTTTAATCATACAGACCAAATTAAGACTAAACTCAAATTATAGAGATCAAATTGGTAATTTAACAATTTTTAATTATTTAATCATCAATTACTTTTCATTTTTATGAATTGAAGATCACATAAAAGTAAAAATTTTATATAATAAATAATTATTTGGAAAAGTTTCATCTCTTACCCATAACTTTAAATCTTGATCTTAAAAGCTTCCTTTTCATCACAAAATTAATAAATTTTTAAAATAAATAAGAAAATTATTTAAAATTTATTTGTTTTTTCTCACAATTTTTAGAATATCTGATTTATTAGCCAAATTTTAAAAAAAAATATCTGTTTTTAAAAACAAAATTTTGTAGTTCTCAAAATTCGCTTAGATTTGGACAAAAAGAAGTAGATAATGAAACAAAGAAATAATCATTTTTATAAGCTTAACTTTTAAAAACAAATGACAAAAATTAAAATAGTTATCAACCAAATCCTTTTTAAGTGATAATTCACCAAATAAAAAGATTCAGCTAAAAAACATACAATACCTTAAAAATGTCTGAATCCCGATCCAGCCAATTTTTTTTTTTTTTTAATCTGACTACAAAATCAAACAATTAAAAATAAATCGATTATCCAATATAAAGTTTAGCTTATGAACCAAATGAGCGTTGTAGGAAAGGAATTATCTTAATGAATATATTAAAGTTCCATTTGAAATTTCAAATACATTCTGTAATTATGCACTGTATTTGGACTTTGGAGTAGCTCATTAATTATTTTCTCATTCCTATTATTAATAGGGATTTTATAGATATTGTACTAAAAAAATAGGAATTTTATAGAGACTACCTACAGAATTAAAAGAGATTACATATTGATATATAATATAACAATAAATTTGTGGCTACCTTGCATAAACTTCAATTGATCTCATGGAACAACCACTTAACTTACAACTGAGTACACCCTATTTTCAAAAGCTAAGAGCTGTCACTTTAAGATTTTCGAGGTAAGTGGTCATCACACAATTTGAACCCATTCAAGTCCCGTCACTTTTTCATTAGCCTCGATGCTAATAATTAGAAGAAAAATATATGAGAACACCCAAGAACAAAAAAACACCAATTCGAATAAAGCAATCACAATTAGCCCCTCTACCCTTTTAACCTGTGGTTGAAAAGATACAGCCTCCTATTTCAGTAGTTCCAGTATCTATATAATACAAGGGAAAACCAGAAAAGATGCAACACAACAGTCTATATGCAAAGGTAAGCTACCTCTGTTTTTTCTTGGACCGAAAAGGAGGCATAGCTACCGGAGTTGCTGCCCGCTTCTTATCGAACATGGCAGTTCTACTCTCTTCTTCATCATCATCCTCGTCATCTTCATTGTTGAGTATCAGGGTATCCTCCTTTGTCTTTCTAGCAGCTTGCCTTTTCCCAGCATCCAATTTGGCATATAATTTTCTGTCAAGCGGGTCATTAGAAGGTCCACTTCTGAATTGGCGTGATACTTTGGCTCCAAGTCCAAGTCTGGCGAAACAAGTCCAAGGTTAAGATATCAATTCGGGCAGAGCTTGGTAGATAAGTTACCAATTATCTTCCTTAAAGTTGAAGGTTCAATTCTCCTGCCTCATACTAAAAAGACGTTCATCACAGATAGTTGTATACTGACCTAGGAGGCCGATTCTCAGGTTCTACAACAGTTGGCTCGTCATTACCAATTGGTGTCATATTGTTAAGCCACTGCTCTGCCTGCACATAAGATGGATTGTCAGTTTGTGAAATATCAGAACAACACTTTATATACAACATGTGATTCTACAAATCCTTAACATAGTTTCACTTTCTTCGTCCCTGACTTAATTCTACAAATCAGGGAACGGGGTTCGAAAGAAGATTAAAAGTCTTCGCGAGGTTAGGAATGGGGAGTGCATCTCTGAATTTACCCCACATCTACCTTGATACCATCTTAGAAATCTCCAACATTTTCTTTTCTTCTTTTCCCAATAATGATGGGATTATTTATGGAGGGAATGCTTCCATAGAAGAAATGTAATGACATAATGCAGTATTGGAAAATTTCTGGCTTATTTTGTGGTAACAGATGAAAATCATTTGAAGACAAGTCTGAGGATATCATTTTTCTTTTGAATGAATTTCTCATCCAATCCTTGTAATTTGCACTTCCACAGAACATTCTTCTTTCCTAGAGAATGCAAGTTCTAATTCTTCATAGGAAGTCTCAGTATTTAACTTTAAATGTGAGATACTTTCAAAACCACTAGCATTTATCCATGTTGCAAAACAACTAATTTAGAGTGTTAAATTCTAGTTCACTCCACAAAAGGGCATCTCATCCTCTATCAAAATTTTGTGTTTCTATCAACAGAAAACTGAAAAAAAAAAAGGAGAATACTATCCAATCTAATGGGCAAGTAACAGAAAACCTAACAAAACATTGAGCAGACCAAATTAGGGTAAATCAAGGTGTAAAACAGTCGTAGCAGCAGAACCATGTATATACCATATCCAATAGCGAATGAGAAACAAATTTCAGAGCCACGACGAAGTGACTTAAACCGAGGCCAAGAACATGAGGAAGGGGAAATATTAATGGATTACCATTTTCAATGCAGTATTCAACTTAAGAATTTCAGGAGGTTGAGATTTCTGCGGCGTCTTCATGTTGCTCATTGGGGTTGTGGCAGTAACTTTTGGACGGCGATTCTGCGAAACCCACGCGAGGATCTTCGATGAAACGTCGCCAACAGCGGGGCGGCTACTTCATAGGGTTTCTCGATTTGGAAGATCTTTTGCCCCTTTGAATCGAATTGGGCAAGCTTACGGCTGAACGTTGAACGGTGAACGGTGACGTCGGACCGGCGGCGATGGGGTTGAGAACGAGTGAACGCAGAGAGAAGAGAGCGACGTCACTGTACAAGACTTGAGAGAATTAGAGAGTTGAGACTGGGCTGGGCTTGAGAACGAAAGTTGAGATTGGGCTGGGCTTCAAAATGAGAATTATATATAAAAGAGAATTATTTAGCCATCCACTTCAATTTCCCTATATAAAATAAGGATAAAAAACATAAATAACCATTTAGCGGTGAATTTAAATTTATAACAATTTAATTCAACAAACTAATATTTAGTCCCTATTATTTTTAGTTCGTAACGAACTAGTTTATATCATAAAAGTTTTTGCTAAGATTTTAGGTGATAAATTGACGAGAGACTAAATGTGTTTATACAAAAACTGGATTATTATATGATAGAAATTGCTACTCAATTTTGATGATTTCTTTTTGTTTTTTTTTCAAAGGAATTTTGATGAGATTTTTAATGTTCGTGATTAAATTGGTACAAATTTTAAACTATAGAAACTAGTTCAAAGGTTAAATTGTTGCTCATTCAAAAGTAAGATATTAAATGAGTACAAACTAAAGTTCAATGACTAAATCGTTACTTCAATGAAAGCACATAAACCAAATGTATTTTTAACCTAAAAAATAGTAGGTATATATATAGTTTAACTAATATGTGGGGTAAGAATTTAAAACTCCGACATTTTTATTGAAAATATACGTAATTGAGCTATTATCAAGTTAAAAAGTAAATAAGTATGGATTGGCAGATTCGGGCCAAATATTTACTTTTAGATCCTAACATTTGAGGTTTTTTCTTTTTTTTTTTCTTTTTAATTTAGTCTCTAAAGCCTAAAAAAATTCCATTCAAAGTTATAAGAAAAGTCAAAAGTTTATGTTTAACTTTTTAGAAATTTGAATAGGTGTTATAAACTTTCCTTAGTATAATTCTTCCCCTAAATTTTCTAAATATATATTTATTATCAACCAATTTTAATATTTACAAATAAGTGAAAATTAGAAAATGTAAAAATATAAGAGACTAAATTGAAACGAGAAATAGAAATTAAAATGAAGAAACACTCAAATATCAGCATCTAAAATATGTATTTAATTTTATTATTATACTCGATGAGTGGATTCTGACGTTAAAATTTCAAAGATGAATTTAATTTTTCTCAATCCCTTTGAAGCTAAATTAGCAAATTAATCAACCAACCAATAAATTGCACAATATTCAACCTCAAATTATTTTTCAATCATCCAATTCAAATTCAAGATTGTTAACTTATAAAGAACAAAATTAGGGTAAATATTTAATCAAGTACATGTATTGAATGAATCAATTAATACAAAGGACTTTTCTAAATGGGTTCATTGGACCCAATGCAATGTTTCAACTCAAGAAGTTTGGCATTTAAGATATGCCGTGTTATGTATGTCTATTAAGTTCTCAATAATTTCAGATTTAAAATAAATTATTTAAATATTATTTTCATTTTTCGTATTTCAACTTTCGTTCATTTTGGTCCCTGTACTTTTAAAACGTAGTGTACTTTTTGAAGTGTTCATTTTGATCTATGTATTTTTAGAAACGGACTATTTTGGTCCCTTTAATTTCATTTTTATCTAATTTTTTTCTATCACAAATTTTGTACGACACTTCACTCATTAAATTTCTTGAAACATAGTCACAAATTTATATTAGAGTATTTTCATTGTATATGAATTTTGTGTTAAAATTTTACCAAAAAGTGACCAAAATTGTTTCTTTTTAGGGGACCAACGAACACTTAAAAGGTACATGGACTAAAAATAAACAAAAGTTGAAAGTATAAGATTAAAATGAACATTTTAAAATACAATGAACAAAATAAACCGAAGCCAAAAAGACATCGACCAATACAATATTTAAACAATATTTGATCACAAAAATGACTCAAGCCTGCAAACCTCAGCTTGGATGGAAGATGGCCTAGAGGATTAGCTGAAATCTAGCTAAGCAAGGGACCTGCAAAACAGAAGACACTCCGACGCCCAAGTCAGGAAGTAGCGGACCTATATTCGAGAGAGAATACAATGTTCGCGTACCCGGGATAGAGGCAGGTGGTCTCTATTTATAGATGAGCTCTATGATAGGACTTCCGACATGGACATGGCTCTAACGGCACTTTAAGGTTATCGTGAAATGCGGCAGGTTGTCGTGGAATGTGTCGAAGAATGAGGCTGAGCAGAGCAATTTCAGGTCGGTTCGACCGAAAAACGAGAACAAGACCAAAAGAAGACAAGGTCGGCTCGACCACCTAGAGCGTTGGCTTTGTAATAATTGTTAAGACTGAGGTAATGAATCTTGGTCTATCAATTAGTTAATTTTTTTAAAAAAAGATTCGTGTGTAATTATTGTAAATGAGACTATTTTTGTGGGTGTTGATTATTTTGATTATGCCGTGTCCGATGGCTTTTAGAGTTGAGTTTTGGTTACTTAATGACAATTTTTTCTAATTTAAAAATTTTGACGAGATAATATTTCACTATTTTTTTTAAATACTTTCGCTGCTTATTCAAGTTTAGGATCAATCAGACAAAATTATAAAGCTTAAAATAAAAATTAACTAAATAAACATAATGTATGAGTAAAAATGGAACTCAAATTCCTAAAACAATTTCAAGTTAGAAATCAAAAGATTAAAAAGAAAACAAAAACAAAAGTGAACAAACTTAAGTCAAATTTACCTACATGCTTTAGTTAAAGTCAATGACTTAAAATTTTTAATTTCATATAACTTCTAAATTTGAATAAATAGTAAAATCAACACCTTTTTAAAACTAAATTAAATAGCTTAAGTGTCATTTGATAATCATTTCGTTTTTTGTTTTTTACCATTTCATTAGTAAGTTTTTCACCTATATATAGAAAATATATCGAAAATATATCTTTAGCTTTATGATATTTGGTATATCTTCCTTAATTATAGTATACTTTTGTATATATTGAGAATTATATAAATATTCTCTTCCACATGGTAGATAATGAAGAAAATATTTTCTATAAGTTTTCTACTCCAAACCCAATAGTAACTAATTGACTAATTGATTAGTGTGAATAAACCATGGCGATATTCAAAAGATTTGGGTTGAGTGTTTGTTCAATTTCATTAGTAAATTTTTCACCTTTTTGTTTCAAACGTAAATAGAGTCCAAAAACGATAATTCACAAATATGGAGGATCCATTGTCTCAACCACGACATTTTTATACAATTTATAACCACATATACAAATAAAAAACTTTAAAAAAAAAAAATTCCTACCCAACTAAGCATTAGAAGCAAGATCTTATTCACTTTCATCTACATTCTAAAAGTTGAAACAAGAAGGAAAAAAGCCAATTCTAAATCTCATAAACTCTATATTTCTTTTTTCTTGGTATCATAGAAAGTTCCTAGTCTTGGTTTCTTAAAGATCTATCGGCAAAAAGAACATCTTCAATCCAAGCAACTAGGTTGAATGCCAAACCTTCCAATACTCTTGAGTAACTTTCCAACACTGCTTGTCCCACATCCTACAACATCAAAAAAAAGTATCATTTAGTACCTGAACTTTAGTTTCGTATCTAACAAGTCCTTAAACTTTAAACAATGACTAACGAGTTCCTAAATTTCTTGTTTAATAGGTCCGCTAGGACTCCGACCTTTCAATTTTGTTTTTAATAGGTCTGTGATAAGTTAGGGACCTATTTGACACAAACGTGGAAGTTTGTAGACGATTTATTAGATACTTTTAAAATCTAGGGATCTAATAGATACGATTGAAGACACAATCTTGAAACTTCAGAGGCTAAAATTGTAATTTAACCCAAAAAAAATAGAGGAGATTCCATGAATTAAACTTACCCTGTTGTATTGAATCTTTGAAGTGTCTAAGGTTGTTTGAGAAAGTTCAGGGAACCTTTGTTTCAAGGACAAGAGCAAGGTCTCAGCTCTTTCTGCCAAAATAGTGTTCTTGTCACCCTTCTCAGTTTCAGCCATTAGATCTTTTACCAATTCCCATGAAGATTTTGAGTGGCTTAGACATGCTTTCCTTCTCCACGTATACATCGAAGCTTCGATCCGGTCTGCAAGTTCGAGCGCTTCGTGTTCCGATGTTATGTGCAGGCAATCGAGCAGATGTTCGGGCGAGAACTTGTCTGCACTATACATGTAGCGGTATATAGTATCGCCTATACTCGCCTTGCCACTCTGAAGAAAATATATATGGATATTGTCTCACACTCATCTCGAGTAATTAGAAAACTAAAATATGATGTCTCCTCTTATATTGGCTATTATGATGGTTAGAGCCGAGGGGACTAACCTTTGGAAGAGTGTCGACGTATGACTCGGGAATTTCCATCTCAGCAAGAATAGTGCTGTTGATTGCCATGGCAGCTTTGTGGATTTGGCTCGCACAATCGCGGCTATTTCGGAGCTGTTTTCGCGACTTCTCCGACAGACCGCATGAAGGAACACAGGGGACTGGCAGCCACCATTTCTCCTCCTTTCCCAGCGGGAGCCCCCGAAACGAGCCAGACCTTGAACGAGTCGAGTTCGACGACATGCTTCCTTTCTCCGCGTACCAGAACTCAGTGTTGTGAAAACGATCCAAGATGTCCTGCCGAATGTACAAACAAGATTCAATCTTGATGTCTTTTTTGAAACATGATGAAGATGTTAGTGATCTTTACCAAGAGCATCATGTCAAGCTTTTGTAATGCTGGAAGATTAATGTATATGTCTGATCTTGCCCTGCTGTTCATCACCTGAAAACACCATCATAATTAACTTTGTGAAAAATGAAAATGAGTATAGGGAAAATAAAATAAGTACAACAAACCAAGGCTGCTTGGAAATAGTTTCATGTTGTTGCTTTCATAATTGTTTCCTTTTTCTTCTTTTTCTATAGTCGGTTATCGGTCCACTCTTTACATTATACAGACGACCCACTACTACTAATTTGGTTACTTCTTTCTTTTAATTCCCCAATTCACCCACTACTACTATATAAGCTCATCATTAGCTAATTTTAATATCTAGAAAGAGCATACTCGAACAAAAGTAAAACACAAGTGACAAAATTGAAGCATTTTAAACAAAATCGACTAACATCAGAATTAAAACATATATTTAACCGTCTAGTTTCAAAGCGAAACGAGAAAAATGTTTGAATTAGAACAAAGAAAAAGTTGACCTCAAGAGCAGTTCCATCTTGCAAAGTCTGAGATTCAGTGAAGAACTCGACAATGTAATCACAAACAGACAACAAACAAGCCATCTCTCTCTTCCACATCGCCTTCTTCTCCGCCGGCAGCGGCTCCAGCTTCAGATTCTGACCAAACACCGTCGCTGATTCCATCAAACAAACAAATTAAGCGTTAAAAAAACATAGAGAAATATACGAACAAATGTTAGAAGAAGAATTTTGATCGCGACGTCACTACTGCAGTCTCACAAGGATTTGAAGTTTCTCAAATTCAAATCTTCTGATGAGCTATTGATATTTTCTAAGTTCGAATTCTAGGACGGATGCAAGTACTTTCGAGTATAATGGAGAAAAACTCCTATTCCTAATTAGAGAAAAGAAAAGGAAAAAGAAGAGAATTCGACGGTCACCGTAAAGATTAGTAATGGCGTTGGAGATTGTAACTGCCGTACACACCCCTTTTCCACTCCCTGACATGTCTTCTCCCAGCAGAAGCTTCGCAAATCTCTCCTTCATCATCTCTACTTCTGCCAACAACAACAAAACACACGTTTGGTTTACTTTTTAATCTTGTGTCCATCGGTCGTTAATTTATTTAACCATTTTTTAAGTATCTAGATTTATTAGACACTTCGTGAGTCTAATAAATAGGTTAAAAAAAAAATTTGGTTTTGAAGTACTATTAAATATTTGATAATTAAAAAAAATGTAAAAATAAATATATTTTTTGGAATGAGTTGTCAAATCGTCGCTTTTTCAATATATTCAATAAAATTGGTCTTTAAATAATAACTTAAAGACCTTTTGGTAATGTTATAAACAATCTTTTCCTTTATGTTTTGAGATAAATTGGGAATAGAAACAAGAAACAATGGTTATTAAAGTCAAAGTAGGCATAACTCAGCAATAATTTATATAAGTACACCTCTAACTGATAAGTTGTGAGTTCGAATCTCCTTCGTTTAGGGTTAAATTTGTAATTCAACATAAAATGAAATCTAAAAAACCTTCCCACCCACCAAACTCACCGGAATCCATGGCGTCATGATCGTCGAGCTTGTCTTGGCCGGCGAGTTTATACTTTCTCGTCCCCCGCCCGGTCGGAGCCGGCGCCGGAGAAGGCTCAGTGCAGAAGCTGCTGTCGTCGGTGGGGTCGGAGAAAGCAGAGGCGTCGGAGCTTGTTCTGCAGTAGGGGAAAGAGTAGCCGCTCGCCGGCGACTGGCCGGAAGCTTCAGAAATCATGGATTGATCGTTCAGATCCACGGAAGAAGACGAAGGGCGAAGAAAACCCAGACGAAAATTTCCCTCAGAGATGGGAAATTTCTCCATTTTCGCATCAAAAAATTCTCAAAACTCTGTGGATTTGAAAAATGGTCGGAGGAGGAGCTTTAAAAGAGGATGAGATTTTTTGAATTTGAAGAAGAAGAGGTTTTGAATTGCTATTCCCTCCTTTCTTTGTTGCTTTGCTCTGATTTTTCTTTTCTTTTCTTTTCTTTCTCTCTCCTCTGAAATCTTTTTTCTTTTTTGAAAGATAGAGAGAGAGAGAAGTTGCTCTGCAACTTTAGGACCACGACAATGGAAGTTCGAGGCAGAGAAATCGGCCGGCCGACAACTTGGTTGCCTTTATTCGATCGAAAAAGAGAGACCCACTTCGAGAAAACAGAGCAATTCCGCCATGGAAATCGACTTCTTCCACACAAAACAGAGCTATATAAACAAGGATGGAAATATATAAAATGGGATCATTATGAAACTAATAAATTAATATTATGTTTATATTAGGTTAAAAACCACATTTCGTCCTGTATTCTCACTGCAATAATAAATGTAGTCCAAGTTTAACCGGCAACAATTTAATCTCTATAGTTTAAAATTTGTAACAATTTAGTTACTATCGTAAAAAATTTTATTAAAATTAAGTGTCAAATTTTATCATATTAATCTTTCTAATTTATAAACATATTTTGGTCCCTCTTTAATTTATCAATCTATATATATATAAGAAACTTAACAAAAAAAAATTTCACGATAAATGCTAAGTTGTTTCCAACTTTAAATTACAATGACTAAATTGTTACATAGTAAAATTCAATGACTAATTATTACCAATTTGAAAGTGGACTAAATTGTTACAAACTAAAGTTCATGCATTAAATTGTTATTTCAACGAATGTCAAGGGATCAAGAGTGTTTTTTATCCTTTATATTAATATGGGTTTAACCTTTGGACATGTACTTTCACAATTTAGTCCTTGAACTTTTGCTTGTAACGATTTAGTCACTGTACTTTCAAATTTGTAATAATTTGATCCTCAAATTATAGTAGGTGACAATTTAGTCACATTAATTATAAATTTGTAACAATTTAGTCTCTATTGGGAAAAATTTTGTTAAACTTCTTATACATTTAGATCGATTAATCGATGAAGGATCAAATACTTTTACAAATTACAAAGACTAAATCGTTATAAGATAAAAAATGATACTTAATTTTGACAAAAAATGTTTACAGTAGGGACTAAATTATTAAGAAAATTTAAACTATAAATACTAAATTGTTACGTACTAAATTTTAGGGAGTTTAGAGACTAAATCGTTACTTTAGCAAAAGTATATAGACCAGATGTGTTTTTTAACCTTATTATGTTGATATATATATATATGGATTTACTTTGCGATGCTGTAGAAATGTCAATTTATCTTTTATCTTATTGTTGAATCCATGAATACACATAAATGCGGTTTACTTTGGTGGAAAGAAAAATTTTAAGGTCAAAGTGAGCGTAGTTCAACAATAACTTAGTTGTGAGTTTGAATTTTCGTCCTTACTAAAAAATTAAGTCTAATTTCATTTTTAGTTTTCTATTTTTAAATGTTACTTTGACTTTTTCTTTAATATTCTTTTCTCCTTTCTTATTAGGCATAATTGAACTCTTTGCTAAATATGAAAAATAAGAAACAAGTCTTTTTGAGAACTATTTTTCTTATACTTGATTTAAAAATAGTTGTTTGAAAGGTAGATAACATGAAAAATAAAGAATTAGTTTAAACTAAATTTTCATAAACACAAGGCCAAAAATCAAATGATTAAGAAGCAAGATCTTTCCCTCTGAGGCTAAGGGAATAATAGTAATGGGTAACATTGAGTTGACAGTTAATTGACATGTAGAAAAAACGATGTAACAATTTAATTGCTACTTGCATCTCGTTTGAATTATGTTCAAGTTGGTATGATACCTTTTTTTAGTTAAAAAATATTGGAAGTATTCGAACCTTCAACCTTAAAAATAAGTAACGACTTGACTTTTTACTTTTGTAGTAGTACAATCAGTGGGAGTAAAAATTGACGTTACAACATTTAGATTGGAGCTAGGTTCGAAGTAGCAACGACTTGACTGGTTGAAGTATTACAGTGTTTTGTGATATAAAATTCACTTTGGTCAAATATGTAATTAAATAAATAAATAAATCTGATTTCTCTCTATCTGCATTTAATTTCTGACTATTCTTTGATATTTTTTTTTCGTAAAAGAAGACCAATTTGGAACATTCACTAAGGGATTCTTACAATGATCTGCCATGTGGAACTATTTGTCCTACATTTGATACTNAAACCGATTTTGGTTCTTTTCTCTTCCAGTAAGGGGTAAAATAGTATTTTGGTCTTCTAGTTCATTTTGGTTTGATTCATATTTTTAAATATATTATACAAATTCTACGCCTAACGAAAACCGTTTTATAAAAAATCATGATTAAATTTCAACAAAAATTTATTGAGTGTAGCGCGGTGTTAAAATTGTGATAGAAAAAATTAGATTATGAAAAAAATTAAAGACTCAAAATGGTTATTTTTTAAAAGTACAAAGATTAAAACGAATATTTTGAAACTATAATAACTAAAATAAACCAAAATTAAAAATGCAGAACTCAAGATAAGTATTTTAATCTAGAATAAAAATCAATGAAAATTTATAAGTTAAATGGAACAATTTTTAATTTCAAATTTATATCATCCCAAACTGATCAATACTAATTATCTAATATGATTAAACCAATTCAATTCCTTCAATTTAATAAACCTTTTCGATTTTGACTTGTACTTCTCGATTTTAAATGTCGATATGGATTGAAATATGGAAATTAAAATTTTATGGAAATGTCGATAGAAATATAAAAAAAAATATCGATGTAGATATATATTCTTTTAAGTTATAAAAAATAAGAAAATTTTAAACATTTCACTCTTCTTGAATAAGTTGAAAATTATTAATATTAATATTAGGTTCATATTAGTGTGATATTATTATATTTTATAGATTTTTTTTAAATTTTTTTTTACCATATGTCTATGAAAATGCAATTTAACTCTTCAATCCATGAAAGTATAGACATAATTTAATATCCTACTTATGAATGATAGAAGGGCATGTAAAATATATATATATATATATATATATATATATATATATGAAAACAAAAACAAAGAGGTCAAAACACTATTTTGTAATTTTAATTTTGGTTTATTTCTGTCCTCCCTTCCCTTTCAAAATGTTAATTTTGATCCCTACTTTTAATTTATTTTAGTATCTATATTTTTAATACGTTTATTTTAGTTCCTATATTTTTAAAAGTGACTATTTTGATTAAAAATAAATCAATCAAAAAAATATTTTAACAAAAATGGAAAAATAATGAAAATAGAATAATGTTTGAAATAAATGATTATGTCAAAGAAGTTGCATGGTTGTGACGAGGACGTGCCTTCCACTTTGTACAAATTGCGTATATTATAATTAATATAATATACCTTTTCAAAAAATATATATATATATAATATATATATAGATAATATATATATATAATATACACACAATGGGGTTAGACTTTGACTATAAAATGTGGGTGCATTGAGAAGATATACATGCGAGAGGGTGCAAGAAGAATACCCTTTCTCTTCGTGTTCATTTTATACCGAAAAATAAATACTTTTGGTCAATATGCTTTCGTTAAAATAATAATTTAGTCCTTAAATTTTAGTTTGTAACGATTTAGTTACTGTACTTTCAAATTGGTAATAATTTAGTCCTTGAACTTTAATAGGTAACAATTTAGTACTTGTAATTTAAAGTTTGATAATAATTTAGTCCTTATCGTAAATTTTTTTTTTTGTTAAGTTTCTTATATATATAGATTGATAAATTAAAGATGGAACAAATATGTTTATAAAATTTGACACTTGATTTTAATAAAATTTCTTATGATTAGAACCAAAATGTTACGAATTTTAAACTACAGGAACTAAATCGTTACAATCTAAAATTTAGGGACCAAATTGTTACTTTAGTGAAAATATAGGGACTAAATTGTTACTTCAATAAAACTACGGGTACTAAATGTATTTTTTAACCTTGAAAAATTATGCACAAAAGTTATGATAAGATCTTAAAGTCTTTTCTTTTAATTTAGTTTGCAACTTAGAATTTTTTAAATTTAGAAATTTTATATATATATTTATTTATTTATATAAATAAAGTTATAATGTAAAATTTTAAATTTTGGCTCCACTCGATGCATTGAGAAGATTTGTGGGTGTGCATTGAATCTAATTATTGCATACTTATTGTGTTCGTACCTTATCTATCCAATAAAAATCTATTAAATTTACAAATGGTGCATTTATATAATATCTATGTGATTTGATAATGATTTTATTTTCAATTTTATGATTCTTCAAAATAATAAACTCATTTCAAACGTGCAATATATGGCAAAAATTCGGTTAAAACCTTTTATTATTATACTTTCATTAAAATCTTAAAATTTAACGATTTAGTTATTATATATAGTTTAAAGGTTGTAATGATTTAGTCTGATTGTTAAAATTTTTGTTGAGTTGTAATGAGATTTTTTGTGTAGGTATATGAACAAATCACTAAAGCTCTAATGTTTTCTTAAAATGATAGACTAAGTCGTTACAAGCCAATTAAAGATCAATACTTTAATTTGATTGGTTAAAACGAGTATAACTCAACAGTAATTTACATATATCTCAAATCAAGAAGTTGTAAGTTTGATGCCCTATTCAAACTAATGAATCTCGTAATATTTTAATTTTTTAGTAAAACAAATGTGATATGGAAAAGTAGTAGAAATGAACTATACCCATATTTTATTTACATTTCAATGAATATGTGAAGAGGGAGTTAAAAGGGTATAAGAGAAATTTGAATAAACAGGGCCAAAAATTGTAAATTTCATAAAATTTAAAACTGCGCTCAGGTTATTTTTAAAAACAATATAATTTTTAAATATCAAAATTTTGACTATATTGTATATTTCTATTATATCAACTTTATTTTGAGTTACATAAGTGTATTAAGTCTCAAGCTACATTAAATTATAGGTTGTTCAAGATTCCACGTTAGAACTTATAACGGCTAATAGGTCTTATCAAATCATACAGGAAATCGAGTTGCTTATGAAAATAACTCTAGTATTGAGTCGAATCAACCTCAATCCAATTAAATTTTTTAAGGGTGACATACACTTTTGGTCCTTAAGTTTGAAGATAAGTTTAAATTTGATCCCTAAATTTCAAAAAGTAACATTTTGGTCTCCGATCTTTAGAAAATAGTTTTAAATGGTTCGTGAGCTTATTTGATCGTTGGTTGACTAATGGAAAAATAATATGACATAATTGAGTGCGCAAATTTTAGATGATGTGAAAATTTT